AAATCATTAAATTAGATTTTGTAAAATGATAGTTTGATCTTGGAAATCGTGGATTTTTTTTCTCCCATTGAAGCCTATGTGAACCATAGTGTATGTAAAATTATGTATATATATATATATATACATAATTCAAATATATATATATATATATATATATATTTGAATATATATATTTAAATAAAAACAGTAATTTAAGATGTAAAAAAAGCCAATAATATTTGGAATGTTGGTTATTCCAAAACACGTATCTCTGTGAGGTATCATATAATTCCTCTAGTTATGAAGAGTTATATTTATATAAATAGAACTGAACACCCACATCAGCTGCATGTTTTAGTGCAGTTGTGAGTTTGTGTGAGATTTAAGAAATTATGATTGGGTATTATTATACATGTTTTTTTTACCTGTTGTTTTTTAGAGAATCATGGCAGAGGCAAGAAGTGCTGTGGCAGAATTGCGAGTGAAAGAGATTGAAGAAGGTCACAACTCAACAAAAGATATTATTCGTGCATGGAGAAAAGCTCTTGTTCGCCGTTTCTACAGAACACGGTAAGCCTTAAACAAGATTTCAGTTCCTTTGTCCTAAGGAAGTAACATCATCTTTGATAAAAATGTAAAAGTTTTATTGAGATTTTACATATTGCATAATGTATTTTTAGAACATATGATTATTATTTTTTAAGTGTCGTGTCAGGTATCTTCATTAAATTTTTAAGCCATCCATTTATGTTTACTTTCCAAAATTAATTCAAAAATATTGTGAAACCCAAGGCACTTATTGTATCAGTGAAAAGCCTCAAGAAAGAGAAGTTACCACTAATTTCAAATTGCTAAATATAACACAACAGTCGGTCTTTATGAGAATTTTGAACTCTTTGATAAAAATTACTGGGTGATATGATTGTGGAACACCATGAAATGCAAAAGCCTTTTAAAAGTTATAGGTGTAATTGTAGTTGGCATGTTTTTAAAAAATGTTATGTATAATGATCATAAATGATTATGAAAAATAAAAACACATTCAGAAAGTAAAATCAGAGACTGTAATTCTAATTGAACTATTTTCACATAGATGTTGAGGTCTTAATCTGGTCATTTCTTTTTAAGCATAGTCTATGATATTTGCCAAAGCTAAATATTGTAAATGATTGAACAATATTTAATCTATTTGATAAGTAATTAAATAGATTAAAATATTGAGCCTAACATGCATGTATCTAGAGATGCTTTGATATTACAAATGTAGAGCCTTTGAAACAACAAATAAAGCAATGTACTGATGTCAATCAACAGTAGAAAAAGAAGATAATTTCTGATATGATATTTTACCTCTTCTCACAAAAAGCTTTTTCAATTAGTACTGCCCTCTATCAGCACAAAGTTTTTGCTCGCCACTAACCTTTTTAACTCCTGCTTTTTTTTGTATGTCTACATGTAAATGATCATGCAGTATCACACTACAAATAGGAGTGTGATGCTACTCCCATCATAACTTGTGCCCCATCTAATAATGCACTTGTTAAGCACTTCTCTATTGTCAGTCTTACTGTTAAGACATGTTTGTAATCATTGTCTTTCATGCAATATTGTTTTTTAGATCAATTTTTTTTTATAGTTACTTTGTGTTTCTTTAGTTGGAGTTTATACTTTGAAAAGTATGCACTCATAGTTTCAAGTACTTACAACTGCTACTACTGTTCCTACTCAGGCGGGATTACCTACCATGTTTTCAGGATCGGGCTCACAGTTATTGGCTGATGACATCACTTCTATGATTTGTAAAGAATTGTCTCATTTTATTCAACAGTCACCACCACCTGAGGAGTATCCTGTCTTGCCTGCACCTGGTATGTCTGAGAGGGAGGACGAGAACTTGGATAGCCTTTCCCTTCCAGATAATCTTTCTCAGTCACTGAACAGGCTTCCTTCCCCCTTTTTTGAATTTATAATTCAGGTATGATCAATTTTGTCTTTATCTCCTGTTTCCTATTAGTCTACCCCTACCCTCCTTGGTGACGAAGCTTTGGGTAAATATCTGGTTTTTGCACCATCACCAGATATTGGAGTTCATACTAGTTATTTTGGGGAACAATTGAGGTCAGAATTCAGTATGCCTTATCCCCCATTTTCATCAGATGATCATGTTTTTGCATTTCATCATGCCAACTAACCCTTTTTAGACTCGCAATGTTTGGAAAATGTTATTCCTTTGTGGGGTTCGGACCCAAATACCTCAGTTTCTGTTTTGCAACCTCAGTTTTTCCATCTTTGTCTTACAATGTCTACTATTCTCTGTGCACTATCCTCCCTTCATCTTTTGGCGGAAGCTATTCATTGGTCTTTTGAGGATTTTTCTGAGGTATCTCGTAAGCTTTTCTTTGCTGCCATGGCTCACCTCTCCTCTTCTGCTCTGGATTTACAGATGTGGTTGATATGCTGTTGGGATCTTTTGGATTGGGATGCTCTGTTGTCCAGAGTTAATTTACCTGCTTCTTCCATATGGAATTTACACATGGTACCGTTTTTATAGGAAGAAGTTTTTGGGGGTCTTCTTGACAGTTTGGAGTTTAGGGTTGAATCAGCTCATTTATATCATTCCATTTCTTCTTTGGCTTCTTGTTTGTCCCAACCTCCTGTTTTTGTATCGGTTCATGCCCCTCTCCTTCTACCCCTTTGCTAGTCCCAGATGCTCATTCTTCAACTTTTTGCAATTGCTTGGTTGTCCATCGTCATCTTCAGGGCACTCAGTGTCAGTGACATGGTACTCTGGTTGGGGTTGATGATGGCTAGGCTATTTCACTTTGCCCATGTTTGGTGGACTTTTATGGTCAATCCATGGGTTTTGAAGGTAGTTTCCCAAGGTTTGACCCTACGTTTTCTGTCTTCTCCATCATTGTCTCCACATCCAATTTCCCTCCCCCTTCCATGGGATGCTGTTTCATGCCAGCATTTGTTGGAGGCAGTTCAGGATTTAATTCAAAAGGATGCCATCAAATGAGGAGATTCTTCTTTTCCGGTATTTTATTCTCGTCTATTTATCATTCCCAAAAGAACATGAGACTGGCACCCAGTGATTTATTTGTCATCTTTGATCTCTTCCTTTTCATTCCCAAGTTCACCACGGAGTTGTACTTAACTCTTCGTTGGGTTTTCACTCCAGGTCTGTGGATGATGAAAGTTGATGTGCCAGATACTTATCTGCATATTCCCATCTTCTCAGCATCTTGACATTTCCTTTGCATTGTTCATCATGGATGAGTTTTTAATTTCCAGGCTCTTCTGTTTGGTCTAGCCTCTGCCCCTTTGTGTTTTGCCAAGTTGTTTGGTCATTTGCTTGACAGCTTTATTCCCAGGGCCTTCATTTTCACTATTACATGGATGATTAACTACTGCTGGCATTCTTGCATGATGACTCTGTCCTCTGTACTTGGTTTCTTCTTTGGGAAGCTGCCTGGGTCAGTTGGCTCATCAAAGTAGAGAAGTCATTCCTCACACCTACTCAGTTTCTGGTTCATCTGGGTGTTGTTTTTCAATTTACTTTTCAGTAGGCCCAGCCTTCTCCACTTCATTGGTTAGATATGGAACAGCTAGTTTACAAGGTCTCCTTCTGCATGATAGGTGCTATTTCTTTTGGGGATGTAGGCCTCTCTTGAGGTGCTCATTCCCCTAGTTGTGCCCACATGCACCATCTCCAATAGGATGTAATCAACCAATGGAGCTTTGTTTGAGATCTCCTGGAGGCTCCTCTTACCCTTCCCTCTCCCTTACTTAAGGACTTTGCCTGGTGGATGGATCAGACCAATACTTTGCTTTGTCCAGATTGTCACATTTTTACTGATGCTTCCCTTTCCAGGTTGTGGAGAATATGTTGATGGTCTTTAAGTGTTGGGAAGGAGGACTCTTCTAAAATCCACTCTACATATCAATATCTTGGAGCTTCTTGCTATTCAGTAGGCTGTTCTACACTTTTGGCTGTTTCTTTGGAGACAGGTGGTGATGGTGTATTCAAACAGTTTGATGATGGTGTCCTACATCTCCACTCAAGGAGGCATCTGGTTGAGGGACCTTTGTTTTCAGACATTGGATCTTCTGTATTAGACCCATGGCCATCACATTTCTTTGCTGGCATGTTATATTCTGGGTGCTATTAATCTGGTGGCAAATCTGTTATCCCGAACTGACAAGATTCAACCAATGGAGTGGTCTTTGGATCTTATCATTTTTCGGGAGTTGTGTGCTCATTGGGATATTACTAATTTGGATGCCTTTGCATCTTCTCTCAACATCAAACTTCCCCATTTTTGGGTCCCTGTTCCTTATCTGCAAGTGGATGCTTTCAGCCAGAATTGGATGAACAGTTACCTATGTTTTTCCTCTTATTTGGCTTCTTCTTGTCCTTTCAGTAGTTTATACCCCTCTTTGTTGGATTCTGTTGGCGGCACCATGTTGGCCAGCTCAGATGTGGTTTCCACTTCTACAATGTTTGTTGGTGTCACCACCTGTCCATCTCCCTTTGTCTCCCATGCTGCTTCATCAGTTTCACTCTGGTGTGTGTCATCCTTTCCTTCCCACACTACATCTTCATGCGTGGCCTTTGTCTGGTCTCTCGCCAGGAGGTCCAGACTTTCCAGGCATGTTGCCTCTTTGATTTCCTGTTCTGTTCACCTTTCTTCATTGGTTGTTTACCAGTGTAAGTGGACTACATACTGCTCTTGGTCTCTTGTGCCAGGGTTACTATCCTTCTCTAAGCCCCTGTCACATGAAGCCAAGTGAAAAAGGATGTCAAATGAGGAATGGTAAGATTCAATTTCCTTTGTTGCTGGTTGCTGGATGGCTTTGTCTACCACTTTCTGGTTTATTGAACTTTTGTTAGTATTCCAGTCTCCTGTCCTGTCTGTGTTATTTTGTTCTTTTTTTCCATTCCTCCTCCTCCATGCACTGCCTCACTTCCTGATTTGAACCTCATTGTGGTCTTTCAATCCCTTACTCAGCCTCCATTTGAACATTTATAATATTGTTCTTCATATCACCTGTTGTTGAAGTCACTGTTGCTCTTGTTGTTGGCGTGTGGTCACTGTTGTTCTGATGTTTTTGCGATCAATGTTTACTGTATTTTGTATTATTTTTCCTTTGTTCTTCTTTTTCCTAACCATTTTTTCCTATCCAAGAATTCTGCAGCCTGGCAGGGTAATTCTACTTCCTTTCCCATTTCCCTCCTCTTTATCTCCCATCTTTATGACCACTCAGATCCAAATCACTTTTTATGTCAGGTCAGAGCAATCTGATGGTATCTGACATGCACTGATCCCTTCTGTGATTCCTGTGTACCTTTATTTGTACCTGGAATCCTGCTGTTTCACATGATCTTTCCCTCATACACTTACACGTTGTATTTGTCATGTCCTTCACCTGGTGTATTCTTCCTTTTCTCAGGACAATTGTCATTTTTTTGAGGGTCTGTTTTTATCAAATCCATCAACTGACCGTGTCCCTGCCTGCCCATTACCATTTTCCTTCAGAGGACATCATCAGTGCAGGTAAGTGGACTA